TTTGTTCTAAACATTTCACACACGACTGTTTTATTTGACATGAGAACCGCACCACTTTGAAAAAGTGCAGTTTACCGATAATATTTTCTGGTGGTACCAGTACCAGTAAATATAAAAGTATTAGATTATTATTTCGAATGTTTTTTTATTTCTTCTCTTCTCATTTTCCCCTAAACTCAAGGGTCATAGCTAAGAGTAGTAAGGTCGCCTGATAATTCAAGCCACGTTAGATGTGTTAGTGGTTGCAGCTAGAGGAGATTCCTCTCCCTGTACCGCTGTAGTCGAGGTGGAGTCGTAAGGGAAGAGGAATGTTGGTATGACGATTGGCGATGCGCCATGCTATCCTCCGCGACTTTGGTGAAGCTGTACTACTTGATGCTTCCAAGTGCTCGTTTTTCCTAGCTACATTCACATGTGGAAAGAAAAGATATAAGAAAAGACCCTTTTCCCTTTCAAAAGGCCGTCAACGCATCTGCAATTCACCTGGTGTTGCAGTTTGTTCATGGGCGGCGGTAATCACTTACCATTGGGTGAGCCATATGCTCGTTTGCCCCCACTCCTATAAAAAAATATCGGACTCGGGGTGTCCGTAGTGCAAGTGGAGTTATAGGCCGCGAAGGGCAGTGTGGCAGAAGTGGCAGTGCCTTGTGTTTCTGGTGCGCCTTATCTGAGAAAGAAAACGGGGAGGAGAAGTCGGCAACTAAGGAGGGGCTTTCATTGGGCGGCTGGCACTAGTGGGGTCGCGGATGTGCATGAAAACGTTTCCTTGGCCCTGCCAATTTGCGGAAGAGGTAGAACACCATGGGGTTTAATATTTAGTAAATGCGTGTCAAGAGATTTAATTCTCTCTCGAGTCTCGAGATTTAATTTGTCTTTTAACTTCGTAGTGGCCCTAGTTTAGTTTCACTTATTTACAAATTCTGACCATCGTTATTAAGCCCCCCGAATACGTGCACTGCCAAAGCTGGAACGCTTAGGAGCTATTGCAATATGCACCGACAAAGGTGATCCGGATGTTGATCTCGAAACCATGGAAGGCGGTACGTTGCTGCCTCCAGAATACATGGAGCTGCCCGAGATTGAGATCCTGAAAAGAGATTCTTCTTTTTTATGTTGGTATCTTGGTTTTTTTTTTCTTTTCTGTTAGTAGCAAACCGTGGCTAATGTGATTGTTGTTTATCAATATAAATTTAGTATATAGGTCGAAACACAAGTTGCAACCGGGAACAGAATGTCACTTCAAAAGAAGGTTTAGTCTATTTCTGAAGTCTGTGATAATATGAAGCATGATCATCGTTATGAATGTTTACCTGGGACAAATAGTACGACTAGGTAAGTTCAACTTTGACCGAGAGGTCAATCGACGGATTCAACTCGGCTGGGCAGCGTTTGGGAGATTACAACACATCTTCTCGTCAGCCATACCTCAGAACTAGATTGTACAACTAGTGCGTGTTGCCAGTGATGACCTATGGATTTGAGACGTGTTCCTTCACTGCTGGCCATATGAGGAAGCTCGAAGTTGCTCAGCAAGCTATGAAGAGGGTTATGCTCAGGGGTTTTCCACGCAATAAACTTAAGAATGAGAATATCCGCAGTAAAACCAGAGTGACTGACATCGGCCAACTGATTAGTAAGAAGTGAAGTAAGAAGTGAAGTGGCAATGGACCGGCCACATATATCGAAGAACCGATAACAGATGGGGTAGAAAGATTCTCGAGTTGCAGCCTCTTAACGGCGGTGGAAGGACGTCCGCCACTAGTTGAAGTTACAACCTGGTAAGACATGCAGGAAGTTTATGGATGCAGGTGGCTCAGGATCGTGCTTTGTGGCATTCCTTGTGGGAGACCTATGCTAAGCAGGGGACTTGTGAAGGGCTTTAATGATGATAAATGATAATGGCTTTATATTAATATGATACATAAATAGAATGGACGTTACGGGTAGAGGCCATCTATCCATAGAGTCTATTCTATTTATTTAGGTATAGGTAGGGTATAGAATTTTTATCGATACATTTTGTCACACTGTCTTATCCCTATTATAAGTTCCGTGGACGTCCACTTCTGCTGTCAGCGCCAAAATGGCGCAAATCAAATCGCCTCATCATGTCACGGTGTATAGCCAGTCCAGCGTACTTATATATATAAAGGTCAGTGGTGACAATTATGTTTTTCTTTATATTTAGTATGTATTGAGTTGTGTTTGAAAATTAATGAGGTAGCAAATAATACATTTACGTGATTGATTCCTACAAGATAAGGTAAATAATTATTATAGATTAAGAACAGGACAGGACCAATAATAGGGCCCTGAGCCGCAGAGATACACCAGTTGACTCCGAGTCGTTGTTGAAAGCTGCTCTGCCGTGCACATGATGGCTAATACCGGTATACTCAGGTGTCCGTTCTCTTCAAAACTGTCTTCCTGCTGCATATTTACGACCTACTTATGCCTGATACCTATGGGTACTCATAACACAGTTCAATTGTAGAGGGATATGAACAGAGTGCTCGAGCCAGTCGAGTTTAAATCCAGTTAGAAAGCGTGAATTTGTCACTGCAAGCAGTCTCTTCAATATTTTAAATTTCTTTCAAAGTTTAAGACGATTTTTTTGGCGCTATCCAAAAACGATAAATGTCGTTATTTATAGTTTTTTTTTTGGATAAATATTTTGTTTTTGTAACCCCCGTACCTACTATTTGTTCCTTCAGTGATTGCACTATCATTGAACTAAAACTAATACCGGAAATACCGAAAAACTCGGGAAATTTCGTATAATTTAAGATAAATATTTTATGACGTATAGGTTACGTTATAGATTTAAGCGTTTAAATTAAAAAGGGCAATTACTTAAAAATTAAATTTAAGAAATAACCGACATTAAACAACTTAAAAATAATAAAATAGTTTCCACTTATTAGAATAGATTCAGATTGAGTAGAAGTTTTAATTTTTAGATACAATATACTTTATATTTATATTTATTTATATTTTAAAAACAGTGTACATGCTGGCTCACAGTTATACAGTATGCCCAAAACGTCAGCAAGGTAATTTATAAATTACAGTTTTAAATAATATTAATAATACAAGATACATGTCAAAAGGTCAAAAAAATTAAATTAAAGGATACATGTCCAATAGCAAATTAAAAAAATAAAATAAAAATATGTCCCAAATAAATTAGAAGTCAAATAGATTACATGTCATATAAATTAAGCAAAATATCATTGTCAAATTGATTACATATATAAGATTAAAAGAATTTATTACAATATGTCAAAATTAGATGTCAAAATTATAAATTTCAAAATTATAGAAGGGCTACATCGTAGACAGAGAAACCTATAGACAAATTGACGCCTTCTTTCGTATTCGCACACGAAAAAGATAGATTTATGCATACGTCTTGCATAAAAGTGAGATAGAGCGGTGTGATTGTTTGTCCCTTTCTCCGTGCCGGTTTTTTTGTTAAAGTTGTTTAGCAAACTCTACAGTTTGCTAAACAACTTTAACAGCGTAGCGATTTAAGGAATTTTTTTGTGTTTAAAAGTCATAAAGATTATTGTATAACCTAAAAATTCGTTATCGTCCTTTCTCATTCGAGGCCACGCCGATCATTAGTCTATAGGTTTCTTTGTCTACGGGCTACATAATTCAATGGCTTCTGTCTAAAGTCGGTGCCAAGTAGTAGGGCTAATACTACTTGCCACCGACTTTAGACAGAAGATATTGAATTATGAGAAAATAATTTTTTTTTACATTTTGAAAACCATCACCAAAGTGAAGGTTTATAAAAATAAAATTTAAAAGTTGTTTATTTATAGTTACATTAAATAATTTTAAATTTTATTTTTTAAAAATGAATAAAGTAAAGTGTTCTACTTATCGTATTTTACCTTGTTGTTTGTAGCGTTTGTAATTTTCAATTGTTTCATTCGTTTCACAATTGAAATCGTATCAATATTTAAATGATACCAGTTTTTACGGATTTTATCGCGTATTCTCTCTCTCATCTTCTCTATTGAAATTAGGATGTTTTTTTGATTTCAATATGTAGCCTCGCGTATTATGCTTGGAAGGAATCGGTGTTCTATAGCGAGGATTTATGTCTATCAAATCTGATGTATGCCGGTACATCTGGACGTTGAACAACTCAGCCCCCCCCCCCCCCCCCCCCGTGACCATGGCTGCTGTAAAGTGCTCGAAACATCGGGTTTATAAGAAAGTTAACATACACGATAAAATCCGTAAAAACTAGTATTATTTAAATGTGTAGTGCTCGCGTAAGTATGAGAAGGATTATTCGGATCAATACTTTTCTAACATTTCGCAGAAGAACGAATAACACTGGGTTAAGTGGCGCGACTTGGGACATGCCTATGTTCAGCGGTGATCTGAGCAGGCTGATGATGATTACGACGCAGAAGAACACTGTCTATTTATCTACTGATTATTTCATAATATACTTTAAGAGATATAAAAAAATTTGAACAAAACTTTTTATCTTCTATCATTATTTTTTCCCATAGCGCACATAGTTTTCCGTGGTTTTCGATACTTAATTTACTGCCCCAAAGGCTGCTATTAAGCAAACAAATCAGTAATTAATATAGATTAGGGCGAGCAGATCAATAAAAGTAGTCTTTGTGCGAGTAGATCAATCATCGAACAATTTTCACAGTTGATTCGACGACGTCGTAGGTAAAAGTTAGTTAACGTTATAAACTATATATTCTTCAATAACATTCTCTCAGGTACAAATGGAAATAATTCAATTGATTTTACTAACTAACCTTGATAAACATTATTTACCTGCTTTTAAGAATATTTATATTCTTAAATGTAGGTAGTAATTTTTTTACGACCTACTTTGCTGAGAAAAGTGTTGCCGAAAGGAAGGTCGTTACTACGTTTCATTTAAAAGTGGTCGCTTTGTAGCTGTGCGTTGGTCATACATATTTTTAGCACTAAACTTGAAATAATTAAATACCGGTATGGATTTAACAGCTATTTTGGGATCTAACAACAAGTTCACCGAAATAACACCAAGTGTGAGTTAAATGCGCAACTTTTTTTTTACAATAATTCTTATGTGTTATGTTTTATTTAAGCACTTCGTATATCCTTAATTTTATCATTGTGTTATAGAACCCCAATAATTTACTATGTGAAGAACTCGTCAGAAAGAATATGGGCGTTAAAACTGGTAAGTTACATTTGCCAACTTTACAGATCTTACTTCGGTTAGGTTAGGTTTAGGTTTTTACGAGTAAAAATAACTAATCCCCAAAATGAATACATACCTACCTACCTAATAATAATATAACACATACCTAATTACTTAATTTGTTAAGTAGTGTACCTTTCAAGTATATATTAGTAATCTATAATATACTATACCTAGAAACGCGATCAGGCTTTAAATCATACTGTCTCATAATTTAAATTATAGTAGAAAAAAAATGTTTTAATATAAAGTACAATCCGACTTCATTAGTCGGTGCTAAGAGGGTGTATCAAAAAAGAGCCTTGACTTTAGTAGCTATTATGTGGAAATAATTTTAACCTTTATAATATTTGTAAGTTCTCGGTTTTTACTTTTTACTGTCTAGCTGTTCCTCGCGACTTCGCCCGCGTGTATTTATGATTTTAATTTTTTCGCGCGAACTCTAATTATTCTTCCAAAATAATGTCAACTTAAGGTGATACTAGTTTAGGTGGTTTTTCTATTTAATATATTTTTTAAGTTTTATAGATTACAAACCAAAATTTTGGTATATGATTTTAGACTATATGACCTTGGATTGCATAAAAGGAAAACACGATATCATGTAATTTTCTCGATAAAAAACATTGCAAAGTAGGCTCTAATTATTTACATTTCTCCATGACACCACAATATTTTTACGAATAAGTTCACGGAATTATTTTAAGGCATAGTAAATAAAATAAGGCATAGTAATAAAGTTTTCATAAACAGTTTTTAGCCGTGGTAGCTCAGTGGTTAACGCTCGCTGTAAATAAACAGAACGCGAGTAACCCGGGTTCGATCCCCGCCGGCACCAATGAAATTGTTAATTGCAATTTTAAGTGCTGATTTACCAAGTGCTCGGCGGTGAAGGAAAACATCGTGAGGAAACCTGCATGTCTGAGGAATAAGAAAAAAAATATTTCGAAGACATGTGAAGTTCGTCAACACGCATTTGGGCAGCGCGGCGGACACTTCCTTGCCCTAAACCCTCTCAGAAATGAGGGGAGGCCTGAGCCCAGCAGTGGGATGTATATAGGCTGTAACTTTACTTTACTTTACTTTACTTAAACCGTTTTTAACCCGTAACGAGGTTTTGTTAAAATAAATAAAAATGTTGTTTGGCGCTTACTTAGTTTTTTTTTCGAGCGCTTGCTGGGTATAGCTATATCATAATTTGTTATACTATGAAGTCATTTTTATTATTTCTTACATTTTTTCTTACAGTTTCTTACATTATTTCTTACAGTTTTATCTTGTCTATAAGATAAAACTGTAAGAGTCGCATAGACTAACAGCACTAACATCTAGATAATAGTAGTAGTAGTACTCCCTCAGTCGTCCGTTAGCTTCACCGACAAAGGAATAAGACACGCCCTCAAAACTACGATTCATTTTCGAGGTATCCTCTTAAGTTACTCTTTATAACATCAGCTATCTGTCAGTAAGAGACCGGTCAAAATCGGTCCAGCCGCTTAGGAGATTAGCTGGAACAAACAGACAGACAAAAATTTTAAAATTGTGTTTTTGTTATAAATACCTACCGTAGGTATTTACTTTCATATGTATTTAGTAAAAAGCTGTTATTTTGACATTACAAGCAGACACTTAATTTTTTTATTAGTATAGATTAAAATCCAAATTTATATGGGACCAATTTCGAGGTATAACCCTATCCAATAAAAAAAGAATAATCAAAATCGGACTACTCTGTAAAAAGTTATGCGTGGTCTTACATAAAAAAAAATATACGCGTCGACTTGAGTCGCTCCGTTTTTTCGTCGGTTGAAAAGGTTAATTTTTTACTCTTGAGTGGACAAAGCTGTATCACAAGGTCAAAGTAACCACTACTTTTATTCTCTGTCATCGAAATTTGATCGACAGATCGACAGAGAAAAACTCAATTAGAAGATGAACAGCAGCACCTTCCTGATAACAACACAAACAACAACAACAACACAACAACAACAAAAGGTTAAAAAATACTGCGGCTACTAACCCGCCTGCAAAGCGTGGCAACTATGGCAAAATCCCTCTTATGAGGCAATCTAAGGCCTATGTTCAGCTGTGGACTTTTATAGGCTGTATATCCATTATTACCATAACACACCTTATAAATTAAAAAAATAGCCGATTATAAATGATATCGGTTATCGCTTCATATATTATAGTACACCTCGGGGATATTTGTTACATATATAAAAATATTTGAAATATTAATGAAGCAGACTTTAGTGATCTCCTTTACCTTCTTCGTAAGACTTTTCAAAAATATGCCAGGTGGCAGACGTGGAAGATAAGTTCATACTTCGTTAGACAAGCGGGAATGTGAGCGCAGAGCAAATACTGGTGACGTACCAGTGCAAAACTGGTAATGCTTCTTCCCAACACCTATCTATAAATTTTACACACACTCACATACACACAGACATCCATAGATAAATAGTAACAACTTACCTTGAATTAATAAAATTCTTGTTTTTTATGTAACTTAAGCATAATTTGCCTCCTAATGGAATTTTTTTATCACCACATTCTTGTTATTATTTTTATTTAAAGCAATCAAAATAATAGAAGTAAATTATAAAATTACATTACATTCATACATATCTAGGTAAATTTTCATTTCCTTTTCGTAGAAGGGAGGACTCTTTTTATAGCTCTAATTATACTCTTTTTATAGCTTTATATAGCACGAAGAACCGACAATCGATTGGGAAAAAAGGTTCTCGAGTGACAGCTTCGTACCAGTGGGCGAAGTGTAGGGAGACCCCTACTAGATGGAGTGACTACCTGATAAGAAATGTTCCTGCATTTCTATCTGTCGATATACGCAGGTGGCTTAGGACCGTGCTTTGTGGCATTCCTTGGGGGAGGCCTATGTTCAGCAATGGACTTGTAAAGGGTTGTAATGATGATGATGATGATGAGACCTCTTTTTCCGCCTAGGACTTTTTTTAATAAGTTTATTTGTTAGTATTTATCCTATTTAAGAATTTTGTTGTAACTACCAGAGCGTCATAATCGCTTCAGCGACAAAGCCCTTTTCTAAGAATTAAAAAAAAGAAACTGCAGTTGACAACTCACTCGCTAAGCGTGTCAACTATCACAAAATCCCCCTAGGAGACAATCTATTGAGGAAGCCTATAATGAGGAGGAGCAGTGGACTTTCATAGGCTGTAATATAATAGAATGAAGCTATAATTAATTAGCTACTCGAAGTCTAATATAGCGTTGTATTGTAAATATATATGTTATATTAACAGATGCTTTGTCGGCGGTTAAGCTAGACCCAGCGGTACTAGAAGCTCAAATCACCATCGAGGCAACCAACAATATGACTTATTGCGAACCCGATGAGGCGATAAATGAAGAAGTTGTTAAAAGAGGTATTATCTTTTTTTAATGATTGTGATAAATAAACTTCTTACCTGACGACGGCTATGTGATTTTTTTAAATAAATAAGTAGTCATCATCTTCTCCTATATCAGCCAGTAACATGTCGCTGCTCTTGTAACCTTAAATTCACAAACCATATAGGATAATAGGGGAGAGTGGGGTAATTGAGAACGGCGGGTAATTGGGAACCACTAGGTATGTAATACTTCCCCCCACACTACCCCGCCCTGCACCTGTTTAACAGACGCATCCAGCGCCCCTCTGTGCGTACGCTATAGTGAGAGTAAAAAATCGCACACGCGCTGACACGGAGAGCCGAAATTTTTATATGTATTTCTGTTATATTTTTTGTCGTGTGTTATAATAAATGTAAATATCCAAATTTTAAATTTAAAAACTCCATATTTCGGTACTGTCAGGCAACGTACTATCTGTTTTCAAACACCACGTGATTTGCAGTTCACGAAAAACACTGTTGAAGGTGGCAGCCATTTTGTTTATATTGACTACTGCGGGTAATTGGGAACCGCGTTAGGCGGGTAATTGAGAACGTTCCCAATTACCCCTTGCGTTCTTATTTATCCCTAATGCTTCTGGGTGATTGTGTAAAAATGTTTTAACGGTACAAATTGCTTTAGAAGCCTCGACATTACATACGCCACCCAATGTATCTCACAAAATGCAGCTGCTACTGGATCTTTCAATCTTCAATTCACTGAAGATGGCATACAAAAAAAATGTGAGCTGAGAAACAATCCTGTCAAACGAATAAGCGATTATGAGGTTGGAGAACTTTTACAAATGCGTACAACAAAACAACTAACATAAGCAAAGCTCTCAATGGATTTAGAGCCGCTGGAATTCATCCAATTGATCCTAATAAATTTAAAGACAGCTTTGAAAATACGGTAATTGACCAATCTCACACCAGTCAGACTCAAGAGTGCGATGTTCATGAAACTGCAGCTTAGTAAAGTTTGAATGAGTCCGTTAACACAGCCATAGTCAAACACCAACATAGGATGCCACTTCTGTTCCAGATCCTTATCCTTCCACTCCCATTCCTCTTGCCGGGATCATGAATGGGCCTGTTATTCCTAAAACAGGAACCACTTCTAAGCGACAGTATAAGAAGCATTCCCAGATTTTATCCAGTACATCAATAAACATTCAACTAGAGAAAAAATAAAAAAGTGGGCGCAAAGCTAAAAAGGAAAAAGTTTCTACTAAAAAAAAACAGAAAAAAACATTAAAATAACACAAAAGAAGCCACGAGTCGATGGTAAAGGAGTCAAAAGTTTGAAAAAGGCTTTACAAGGAAAGCGAAGAGGAATTTCACTGTGTAATATGCAATGAAAAGCATGAATCCCCACCGATAGAATATTGGATCATGTGCACCATTTTTTAACTCTGGGCTCATGAAAAATGTACTACCGACGATACTAGTAAAGGTTACGTGTTATATGTGCCACACATAAGTTAATAATTGTAGTTTATTTTAAAGATTTAATTATGTCGTTCTTAACCTGTTTGGAGTAACCATACTGTTCCCATTTCCCTCACAGGATGATCTCAATTACCCCATAGGGTATGGGGTAAATAGGAATGGCAATGTTTTTTGTTTTCGTTCATATTTCTAATAAAACGTTGTTTTTTAAGATTTTTACTGTCACTAGTAAGTAGATATATAAGCAAACTTTATGTTGCAGTGAAAGTTGATTATGTCTGTGACTTTTTTCTATTATTATTGAGCGTTAGAAGTTAAGAGTTCCCAATTACCCCACTTTCCCCTAAATCCTTAAAATTCCGCTGCGTTTTGAATCTAATATTCATAAATAATATAAGAATATAACAAGTGATAAGAGTTGATGGTCTTGTAAATGGCTTAGAGTTGTATGTTCGGTCTTTTGCCACTTCAGCTTACCAATCCGTTGGGCTATGTCGATTACTCTGGTACTTTCATGCAGAAATTGTTACGGATTCTGTCATGCAAAAAATACGAGGAATGATAATATCTTTTCCTTTATTATTTATTAAATATATGTGAAGTCGGCAGGGTCTTAATTTACCTTGAGGAAGTGACGAAGCTTAATCATCACTCTACTACTATCCGTAAGTGTCATAAGAGAAGATTGAACTGTAAAGCCATTAAGGAATCATTATCCGCGATAGATGGTTATATCACATCTTGTATAGCTGGTGTAAGATATTGATTAAAACTACTTTTACGCATTTTATCGCCTTTATTTTACTATTATTTTTAATTCCCGACGTTTCGGGCGCTTTCCAGCACCCATGGTCACGGAGGACTGAGATGACTGACGTCCCGATGTCATTGTTAAACCCGGAGTACCTTCAGCTTTTTTAGTTATTGTTTATGGTCCGATCTATACAAAATGAACTGACCTGTTACCTGTAACCTGAGGTCTTGCAGTGGTATGCTTGGGTTTAGTTTTAATTTTATTGATTATAGGATCCCAAGCAGGTGGTAGTACCCAGCCTCCTTCTCTATTGAAATTAGGATGTTTTTTAATTTCAATAGCCTCACGTATCATCCTTGGTAGGAAGCTCGGCGGCCAGGTGTTTGCTGTCACAGATCCCTCGTGCTCTCTGTAACAATTTGTATTAATCAATGTGTAGTGTTCGCGTAAATATAAGAAATAATTATGGTGTAAGATACCCAAAACGGAGACGTAGCTTTAGGCAACTCTGTCAAGGTACGCTTTTTATAAGTGGTAGAGCCAAACTGCATATTATGGTTCTAGCACGAATGGGTCGGCTCGACCGGGGAAGGACCACGCTCTCACAGAATACCAGCGTAAAATAGCAGCTTAATACTGCTGTGTTTCGTATGGTGTGTGTAGAGATCCGGAGACACTTTTTTACTGGAAACGAGGCATTCCATCTTAGTTCTCAGGGGTGACAACGCATCTACGTTTTGATTCTTAATCGAGGATAAATGTAGATATCTATGGGCCACAGAATTCACTTACCATCAGGTGGACTGTGTGCTCGTTTGTCATCCTTATTCTCTAAAAAAGACGCTTAACAAACGGCGCATTGTCGGTAAGGTGGATATATTTATTAAACTAAAGTGACAAACGGACTTACAATCCATTTGATGGCAAATCTGCATGCAGTCCATCCAACTTCACTCAAGGAAGGCTTCACATGCAATGTCAACCTTGAGGACTAAGACAGTCTGTTATTTAGTACCAGCGCTCTTAAGGAGTAAAGATTAAACCACATTTTTTTAACATTTTATAAGCCAGTGCCTGACCACAATCCCACCTGGTGGTAAGTGGTGATGCAGCTTTAGATGGTAAGTCACACTGTCTTAGTGTAACAAATGCCTTACTCTTGCCTTGAAGACGCCCAGAATGTATACGGGCGGAAAGATAGACGCCGGCAAATTATTCCGCTCCTTTGCTGTACGCATTAAAAAAGTCGAAGTAAAGTCATTTGATTCTAATGCGTGAAATATCGACATCAAAGGGGCGAAGACCTACTGACTCGCCGTAGGAATTAAATCGTGTAATTCCTGCGCACACTCTCCGAAATGCTTCCTATATAATACCGAGAGGCTGGCTACTCTGTGCCTGTGCTCGAGGCTGACAAGGTTGGTTTCAAACAAATGCAGGTCAACAGTGAGCCTCTTAGTTTCTGCACTGATTCCAATGCTGCCAGGTGGCATTTCCCAGCCTATATGTGACAGCAGTATTCCATGCACGACCGGACTTACGCTTTATATAAGGTAAGAAGCTGTCCCGGCGTGAATTACCACCGCACCCTTGCGAGAACACCAAGTTTCCTTGCGGCTGCTTTGGCTCTGAACTCAATGAACCACCTATAGTTGAGGTTCGGAGAAAATTCAACCCCTAACAACTGAAGGCGGTCTGTGTACTCCAAGGACACATTCTGAAAAGTAGGAGCCTGGGTGAGCGAGCGAGTGAACAGACACGCTTGTGTTTTAGAGGCGTTGAACCTCACGAGATTGGCATCGCCTCATTCGGACATTGCCTGTAGTGTGAGATTCACACGCTCAATCATAGCCTCTCTTTCGGATTGGATTTGATCCCGACTGGTTCGAATACATGGTTGGTATCTCTCCACAACTGTGCTATCGTCTGCATACACATAGATACCAGGCATAAGCAGATTATTAATATGCAGCAGGAAGAGAGTTGCGGAGAGAACCGACCCTTGAGGAATACCGGCGTTAGTCGACACAGGATCGGATGAGCAGCCATGGACGACGACCCGGAAAGACCGTTCATTCAGAAAGTTCTTTATCCATTCAATCAAACCAGGGGATAAACCGTACACTCGAAGCTTACCCAAAAGGCTAGCGTGCCAAACTTTGTCAAAGGCCTTCGAGACATCAAGGGAAACAGCAAGTGCTTCCCCACTGTTCTCGAGTGCCTCGCCCCATACGTGTGTAGCATACGTTAGAAGGACTTTAGCTGACCAATTTCGGCGAAACGCGGATTGCCGATCACTATGGAGGTCATTTACGTTGATGGCGATAAAAGTTAAAAAATGAATAACACCATTTTTATCAGTGTATATTATGCACATAATCACACAATTTTATGTATCAAAATCCACTTAAAACTACTTTTTATTCGATCAAATACGAGCAACAATCCGTTCGTGGTTAAGTCCTTACCAAAAACTGTTTTCGTCAGATTAATTTATGTATGTTTAGAAATCCAATTGTAATTTTTTTTCAGAGACTCCGGCGGCAGAGAGGTTAGACTTCGAAGAGACGCTAAATTCTATGCATCGTAATGCTCTGCTCAATCTGACCTCGCAGCAATTTGCCCTCCTGATGATCTATGTCAGTAACTTGAGGAAGCAACGTGTGTCATTTCAAAAGCGGACCGTAAGACACTTTTATGAACTTAATACTTTGAAGCATATTTTTTACAAAATCTTTGACCAAAACATACATTGGTGGCATAAGATGGAAGGATAAAAAGAATAGTAGGATAAGAAGACTTGCCGTAAAATGGCAGTATAGAACAATCTTTCTCCCCATTTCGTCCCGTGGGTTACAAGGCGACTTTTGGAAATGCCAGAGAAATTTATGACTTTCGATTGGTGCAAAAGAACCCATCTCGTTTACCACAATCGTTACAGCTTATTCGAGAGAGCCCCGTGCCCATCTCCTCATTTATTTCCTTCTCTCGCCTCTCACGACACCCACGGGATGATATAGGTTAGTTATCATTCAACTTTTGCCTGCCACTATACTGGCATTTTTTGACCGCTTCGTAGTATCACTATCAGCACTCGTTTATCCCTTTGTTCTTTTGTGCAAAATATTTTTAAAAAATTTACCGGTACTAAGTACTATTTTTCACTATAATATTATATTTTTTGGTCATTTTTAACCAATTGCCATGGAAATTATGTATTTTGATTTTTTAAGAAGCTGAAGAACAAATTTTCAGGTGCGGGTAACATTAATTATTATATCGTATCGCACCCAATTTTGACCCAAACCCCTGAGGACTGAGGTGGAATGCCTCGTTTCCAGTAAAAAAAGGTCTCCGGATCTCTACACTCACCATACGAAAGACAGCAGTATTAAGCTGCTATTTTACGCTGGTATTCTGTGAGAGCGTAGTCCTTCCCCGGTCCAGCCGACCCAATCGTGCTACAACCATAATGACTGCAGCTTGGCTCTACCACGTAAAAAATATTACGTTTTAAATTACACAGATACGATTGTAAATTCGTAAGTTCTGTGGCCTCTATATTTGAGACCATTGTTTTATAATTTTATTTATTTATTTATTCTTTATTGCATTCCTTATTAATATATAAGAATATTGTTTTAATAATCCTTGTAGCATTATTAAAACAATATTAGAAATCCAATAATGGAGAACTAATATAATTCTGATATTTTTCAGACAAAGAAATTAAGTTATATTTAATTCTCCATAATAGGTACTTGTGTACTAAACCCTACTAAACTATAAAAAAATTTGGGAATGATAGTGAATATCCGCTTTATATTTCCTTATATGAAATTTAGCTTCAATTTAATACATATGATTAAAATATTGGAAAGTCTTATTAAAATACTAGCTTGCCAGGCAGACGTTGTTCTACCCTTTTCGACGACCCTTTGTTTAGCAAAAAAAAGCTTTTCTGAGTCACTCATGGGCAAAAAAAAACTACCCTATCTCTCAAGATGGACCAAACCGCACACGGTGTGCAAATTTGATTAAAATCGGTTAAGTAACTTAGAAGTCCATTGCGGACAAACAACGTGACACGTAATTTATATATATTAAGATTACATGTTCAGTGTTACATGTGAGTTACGCTTCAGTTATATTAGGGTTGAGTCGGCTCGACGGGGGGTTATTTTATAATTAAAAGTCTTCCACATTAAGAAGACAAATTAGAAGATGCTGGTCATCGCCACTGCTATAAATGCCGTCATTCAAGTTAATCGTATTAGAAGAGCCTCAGCACACATGTACCCAGCTGTTATATTTTCATAGCAAGCCTCCCAATAAATTTTGATACAAGATCTGTAAAATAAGAAGAGTTCAACTGAGTCGAATAGTAAGCCTACTTACCCATTTACAGTTTGACCCAACACTTATTAGCTCAGAGGATCGCTCAGAGGACACAAAAGAGCACAAACAAGGGACTCACTGGACTTGAAGCCAGCGTCAAAGTGCGATATAACAATTAGACTACTGTCGCTTCAATATGTTTTAAATGTATAACATATATAAGAATTTTCAAATGACGAGTTAATGGGGATTAAATGGGGCTCTTCACTCTATTGTGGGAAGTCACAATGTACGTTGTGTAATGGTGACAAAAAATCAATTTAGTCATTAATTAATTAATTCAGTTATCAATCTATCTGGTTTTTTTTATATAGGATAAGGGTGACAAACGAGCACACAGTCCACCTGATGGTAAGTGGATGCTGTGGCCCATAGACATCTACATTTAACCTGGATTAAGAATCAAACTGTAGATGCTTAGTCACCCTTGAGGACTAACCTACATTGAATATAACTATTTTTTATTTTTCATCAGGAATGTGCATTTTGTAAGAACAGCGGTGAATCAGCTGCGTGGTACACGAGCCACGCTTTGAGGGACAGAAAGGGTCGCGTGCGATGCCCGATGTTACGCGCTCTGACATGCCCACTGTGTGGCGACACCGGCGACCGCGCTCACACTCTCAAGTATTGCCCTAACAACAGTAACTGGAGGTAAACATTTTATGAATAAATAATATTTTTATGTGCTTGAACTCCACCACACCACACCAAAACATCGTGAAATAACTTGCATGTCTGTGGAATAAAATACTTCCAGGGCTAATAACAAAACTGTTCACGTGGTAGAGCCCCCAGCAATAATGTAGCACGAATGGGTACGACGACCACGCTCTCACAGAATACCAGCGTAAAATAACAGTTTAATGCTGCTATGTTTCGTATGGTGAGTATGGATAACCGGAGACCCATTTCACAAAAAACGAGGCATTCCATCTTAGTCTTAGGGGACGACAACGCATCTGCATTTTGATTCTTAATCGAGGATAAATGAAAATTTCTATGGACCACAGCATCTACTTATCATCAGGTGGACTATGTGCTCGTTTGTCACCCTTCTTCTATATAAAAAAAAAAACACTTTTCCGGATCGATACGACTTGAGAGTTGAGACCTTCACGAAAAAGCATACTTCTTTTTAGAAGGCCTGCGATTCCTCTGGTATTGTCTGGTATTCAGGAGTGGATCTTTGATAGGCTTTGACCTGTGATGCTGATATATTATATATTTCATTTATTTTATGTAATGAAACGTCGCAAATTGAAAAATAAATAAAAATTAGGTAAAATTAAACGCGATAAAATCCGTAAAATTAGTTCAATTCGATAATGTTTTCTTATAGGCTATGCGAAACTACGCATTGAAAACTATATAATATGCAACTATATATGTATGAATTAGATTATTAAAGGAAAATAAAAATATGGTCTCACTTTTTTAGTCGTAATTTATATAGCATGTTACATATTATACATATATATATATATATATATATATATATATATATATATATATATATATATATACTATATTATATATCTATATATATCCCATCATATTCCCAATAAAACTGATAACTTCCGCCATTTTTAAAGTCGGTTAGTAACAAAAATTACGTGTATGGAGTTTAGAAGTAAGGAGTACCAACTCACATAGTAGAATAGTTGAAAAAGTGGCCATCTGTTAGAAGTAAATAACAGTTCAAAAACACTCCACAACAGCGCTGGAGTAGCTACTGGGATGAAATGAACTTAGCAGTTGTCGACGGTTTGAAGTGTGCTGCTAAACTGCTCAGTAGTTCTAAAATCTAAAATAATTTTATTTAGTAAATATAACCTCGAAAAAGTCGTCTATCCCACTAATATTTTTCGGCACGTTCTTTAAAATTTAGCCCGTAGCGCCACCCTTATTTAACGGTTTTCTATGGACACTTTTTAATACACAGTCTGTACTCCTTACTCCACAATTACGTGATGGAACCACGCTGCAGAGTGTTATGGGTGCCCCACGGGTCGGCTCGATCGGGGAAGATATACACAATACCTTTTTTTTTTGCGCCCGAAGCAAATATGGGCAACCCTCCGGAAAGCGGGGGAGGGAGGTTGGGAATGCTCATAGCATACCATGCAGCCGGCTGCGTGGTTATGTGGTGACTTTTACCCACTAAACCCAACCTTTTAGGAAGTGGCTTAACGATCTGACTAGAGATCTCTAAGCCGTATACGAACGCGACCCTCCTTGGCAGAAAGGAGGGCGCAGCACAATACCAGCGTAAAATAGCATCTTTATGCTGCTATATTTCGTATGGTGGGTGTAAATAACCGGAGACTCTTTTTAATGGAAATGAGGCATTCCATCTTAGTCCTCAGGGTTGATGACGAATCTGAATTTTGATTCCTAATCAAGTATAAAATGTAGATGTTTGTTGACACAGCATTGCATGATCCGTGTGGTGAGTGGCGAGAGCCGAATACAATACAAACAATTGTTTTGTACAGAATTACAAGCCGTTAGCCACTGAGCTGTAGAGTCGTCAAATAACTATAACAATGAAAAATAAGTAGGTATGTAAATAAAATATGTTTAATGGGAGAGGGATATGTGTATTTTCCTCCCTAAAACAGAAGGCAATAATTTGCATTTCTATCTTCGTCTTGCATTAACGATAAAGCAAAACATAATACTTTGGACTCACATTCAACAGTTCCCACTCCGGACACCTCTGCTTTTAGCCAATTTAACAGTTGTGATGTTAAGAGAGCCATAATGTCGATCCATTCAAATTCGATTGGTAGTGACTGCATTAGTCGGAAAATGGTCATCCCTCTCATTGATCTCCTTTTACCTATAATCACGTCTATCCTGAATAATTCTCTGAATAGTGCTTTTTTCCCTTCAGCTTGGAAAGACGCATTTGTAGTTCCTCTTCCGAAAAAGTCAAATCCCTCCAGTTTTTCTGATTATAGACCTATCTCTATTTTGCCTTTCTTTTCCAAAGTTCTAGAACGCCTTGTGCACAATCAATTAAGCACCTATCTTTTAAAACACAATCTTTTAAATCCCTTGCAATCCGGTTTCCGTCCTGGCCATAGTACGACTACTGCACTTTTACAAATCACTGATGATATTCGGTATGGTATGGAGAAACAAAAGCTTACCATTCTCACGTTGCTTGATTTTAGTAACGCATTTAATACTGTAGATTTTGATATCTTGTTAAGTATCCTACGCTCTCTCAACATATCTCCAACTGTAGTTGACTGGTTTCGAAGTTACTTGTTTGGTCGCCGACAGCGAATTCAGGTGCAAGAGGTTTTTTCCACCTGGACTACTACAGCTGCTGGTATACCACAAGGTGGCGTGTTGTCTCCTCTCCTTTTTGCAATTTTCATTAACTCTATAAGTCATAATTTGTCCTCTTCCTACCACTTGTATGCTGATAATCTCCAAATCTATACTCAGTCCTCTCTTGAAGATCTATCTAGAGCAGTTGAAACTATTAACGCTGATCTGAATTGTATTTCGAATTGGAGTAAATGTTATGGTTTAACTATTAATCCTAAGAAAACTCAGGTCATTGTCATCGGTAGTTCTCGATTAATTGGTAAAATTGACTGGTCTTTCCTACCCCCTATTATACTAGACTGCACTCTAATCCCTTACAGTAACAAGGTTAAAAACCTGGGGTTGTATCTTGACTCCTGTATGTCTTGGACCTCACAGGTTAATGAGGTCAGTAGAAAAATGTTTGCTGCGTTAAGCTCTTTGCGTAGATTACGTAATTTCCTTCCCACAGCAACTAAAGTTACGCTCGTCCAGTCTCTACTTCTGTCCATTCTTGACTATACTGGTATTTGCTATCTTGAAATTACCGAGAAGCAGCTTAATAAGCTTGAGCGCATTCAAAATTTATGCATTAGATTTATATTTGGGCTTCGCAAATATGATCATATCTCCGAATTTCGCAAACAACTCAAATGGCTCCCGATCCGCCTTCGCAGGAATACTCACATTCTCTCCGCGTTGTATAGTGTGCTGTTTAATTCTTCTACTCCTCTTTATTAAAAAAAAACCGTTTCCAGTATCTTTTATTACCCATAATCGGTTCCTTCGATCCTCCGTCAATCTTTCTCTCTCTACACCTTTGCACTCTTCTTCCTTTTTCAAGAAATCCTTCACCGTAACCGCTGTGCGATTGTGGAACTCCTTACCTCTTCATATTCGTCGTGCTAAATCTCTTCACTCTTTCAAAATTCTTGTTAAATTGTATTATTTAGAACGCTATTAGATAAATTACTTTACCTTTCTGTTACTCTTTTCATTTAATCTATTATATGATATTTTATATATAACTTTCACTTACTTTTATTTGTATGTATTATTGTATTTTTTTATTATTATTTTGTATGCCCCCCCTCTATTTGTAACTTTTGTTTGCATCATTCCTCTACGCAAAGGTTGTCTGGAAGAAATCACTTTCAGTGATAAGACCGCCTATTGTACATACTTTAATTAGTTTTAACTATATTGATGTTTCTGTATTGTGGTGTACAAAAAGAAGAAATAAATAATAAATAAAGCACCGTTAAAACAACTTCCGCGTGTTACCTACCCTAAACATATGAAAAACAGCCTACTTTTATAAGCATATATCACACAAATGTACTACAATATGTGTTCTTGATCCCTAGGGAGTGTCCATAAGTGGACATTTTACGTACTGATGCGTAGTAGGATATCTGTTGTATTTTTCTTACTGCTGTTTGTCTATCTGTCACAATTTTTTTCTTATAGATGAAGGGTTAAATACCGTCTTTAGATAATTTGGCTTGTGCTTAATTTTTTAAATATGTTTGCGGACCAATCACTTAAAAATTGCACCCGTTTACTCGTAAGTCAAAAACATCGCTCATTATATCTGAACAATCTCGTATGCATCATCACAATTCAACCTAAACTAAACATCCATCGTTTTTTAGATTGAATTATAATCCTGGCATAAATCGCACGAATTATGCAAATAGCTTGCACTTGACCCGTTTTCCATGTATTTATACGTACTATCCGAAGTTGTTATACTTAGTCTTACGTGATAGAACCGTGCTGCAGCTATATTAGTAGTATAGTTGTAACACGAGGGTCGCCCCGACTGGGGAAGGACCACGCTCCTTCGGAATACCAGCGTAAAATAGCAGCTTAACGCTGCTGTGTTTCGTATGGTGAGTGTAGAGAACCGTAGACTCTTTTTGCTGGCAATCAGGCATTCAATCTTAGTCCTCGTCCTCAAAGGCGAGCAGGAAGTTGACGGATCGATGGATGCAGTTGGTTAAAACCCTACATCACTCGGGGGAGGCCTTCATTCAGCAGTGGACTTCTGAAGTGATGATGATGATAAAAAATTAATTTTTGTAATATCAAATATATCCGACGTAGAAAGTAGTAATTAGTTTCCTAGTGGACTAACTTATGGAATATATTTTCGTTTTTAATACAAAGTTATCTGAACCTGTGTATTTTTTTTTCGCAGAATATAACATTGGAGAGCCATGCGAGATTTTATTCTACTTTTATTACTTAATATTGTAAGAGGTCGTTTTTAAAATAAAATTTTATTTAAGTTGTTGTTTTATTCTAATAGCATTACATTGTCTTTTAAATTTTTCAAGTACATGACATTTCTTAGGCGTTCATTACACGGACGCTCATTCAAGTTTCATTCAATTCCATTTCCATCAATCATGATTGATAAAAAGCGGATGGTGATTGCTAGAAACAAATCGGCATTACAAGCTCATTCTGACAGATTTTCAGTCAAACCCAAAATTTCAGAGGGAAACGATACATATTCATAAAAAAGGCCTGTTCTGCAATTTTGATTGCAATTTTGTGTAAAAAAACGTAGGTATGAGAAATACCAAATTTTGGGACGGTACATTTCGTTTGCGCCTGCGCCAGACCTTTTAGATGATGTATTTTTTTTAGTCCTCTGTAGTTGGATGTTTTAAGCTTTAATTTTGGTAGCGATGTTTGGTAAATAATACACATACCTACCTATAAACTAAGTTCATTTTCGATACACCATTTAACTGTAATTTGATATCTTGTAAAGAAAAAGAAAAAAAAACAATAGGAACAAATTGGAATATTTAAGGTCATTTTACCTTCTTTAATTTATAAAAAATTTTTGCGCTGCTAAGGCTACTTTAATGTAATTTCAAATATCAACGCTATGTGCTTCTTACTTGAAACGCTTTTATTTATTTAAATAGTTTTAGGACGAAAAAGAAGCTCTTAAATTTTATATTTATTTGTATAACCTAAGTTTTTTGTGTCCCACAACTCGGGGAGAGCCTCAAAATTTAAAATGAAATCTTTCTCTGGCTGAACCACGTTAAGTAGGAATGGCGACGGGGTGTGCCAGCGCGTGGAAGCCGCCTATTCAATATATTGCGTTCGCCTCCATTGCTGTCTAAGGCGTACATTACACGCTCATGCAAGCGTTCATTTCCATCAATCATGATAAACAACGGATAGTCACTGATTGGAGTACATTACGCGCTCATGCAGGCGTCAATCACTGCATTACACGGTTATTCGACATCACAACCGTGATTTTTGTAAAACTGACAGCAAAACCTATTGTGTAATGGGCACCTTAGGCGTACATTACACGCTCATGCAGGCCAAATTATAGCGGACGTAACAAATTTGTACTTGAAATTAACGCTTCGTATTACTCATAGTAATCTCCCATTAATACTCCCATAATAAAATCAATTAGCATTCGTCCTATTAAAGCTTTCAGTATCTGTTGTAAACAATAACATCCACCTACACGACTTCTGACAGGTTTAAGATATTGCAGACTCAAAGCCTTGTTTTTTTGTTTTTTTATCTACTTCAAAAGGAGGTATTCAATTCGACTGCATGTTTTTTATGTGTATAACATTTCTCTGGTTGAACCGATTTGGCGATTTGGTGATTTTTTTATCTAAAAGCTTGTGCTTCTCGTGTGGTCCCATATTATAAATTTAATCAATTGTTGGGAGCACTATGCTCGAAGTTGTTGACGAGTACGTTTATCTGGGACAAATAGTCCGACTAGGTAAAGTCCAACTTCGACCGAAAGGTCAATCAACGGATTCAACTCGGCTGGGCAGCGTTCGGGAAATTACGACAAATCTTCTCGTCAGGTATACCTCAATCTCTGAAAACTAGATTGTACAACTAGTGCGTGTTGCCAGTGATAACTTATGGATCTGAGACGTGGTCCTTCACTGCTGGCCGTATGAGGACGCTCAAGGTCGCTCAGTGAGCTATGGAGAGGGCTATGCTCGAAGTTTCTCTGCGTGATAGACTCAGAAATGAGGATATCCGCAGTAAAACCAGAGTGACCGACATAGCCCAACGGATTAGTAAGATGAAGTGGCAATGGGCCGGCCATATAGCTCGAAGAATCGATAACCGATGGGGAAGAAAGGTTCTCGAGTGGCAGCCTAGTACCGGTAGGCGTAGTGTAGGGCGACCCTCCACTAGATGGAGTGACGACCTGGTAAGATATGCAGGAAGTCGATGGATGCAGGTGGTTCAGGACCGTGCTTTGTGGCATTGGGGGAGGCCTATGTTCAGCAGTGGACTTGTGAAGGGCTGTAATGATGATGATGATGATGATGAATCTGAATGATGCGATGAGAAATTGTTTGGTAAATGCTAATATAACAGAAAAGTATGGTTTGCAAGATGTTGTGACTAATATTAAGAAAGGAATGCGTCGGTGGTTTGATAAGAGTCATCAGAGCGGAGGAAAGAGAAAGCGGGGAAGAAAAGAAGTGGAGGAAAGAGTGACAACGCAAGTTTATGCTGTAAAAATGAGTGGAAGCGACTCTACCACTCAATTCTGCACGCAATGCAAGGGACGCCCTAAACGGAATTTCATTGACCGTGGGCTAAATTAAGAGTACCCTTAGCCGTCCTGTATGTATGCCTAGGTATATGGATGTGAAAGAACCGCGAGGGGTGTGTCAGGATCGTGCTAAATTGAAGTAGTCTATATCTTCCCTTCTGGGTAACAGATAATAATAAATACTTTTTTTAAATAAATACTTTTATTTCTCAAAAATTAAATATAAGTACATGTCTTTGAGTCGCCCCAGAGAGTAATTTCCATACTCGTATTGGGGAATACAACAGATGTAAATTTGTGTCTGATGTCTTATATAGGCGTTCAATATTTTGGGGCCCTTGTCAGATAGGAGCCTTGGGATCTGTGTCCACAGGGTAAAGAGAAAGTCGAGCTGCTTACTGAGGCTTTAAGCGAACGGGTTGACATTAGTTTGCAGCCTCAATACAGCCGCAGCGTAGTCCTACTACGTATGTACCTTCACAAGTGTACCATCAGACACTGTAACTACATTTTAATAAGGTCGAGTCTTGTAATTGCAACTATATGGTTATTGCAACTAATTTAAATAACTCCATCTATCATCACTATTTCGAACAACGACAGGCGTAATATTGTTCTTTATCCCAAGATCCAATGAAAATATTACGATGGCGCTAATAGCTATTGAACTGTGTAAATGACATGACTTTTTGTCAAACTGCCATTTTGTTCGGAGTGACGCGGCGTAAACGCGGAGCGCAATAGTTATTTAATTCTGTTATTTGTGGTTTTTGGTAGGTTTCTTTATAAAGGAAGTGATTATTTACTACGGTAAGTTGTTTTTTACGTATTTGTTTCATTCCACGATAAATCTAGCCCAACTTATGGGTTCAGTTACATTTACCAGACTAAAAATCAAAAGTCAGGTTATTGCAACTATTTTTAAATTTTTAGGTTAGTTGCATTTATCTGACCGCTTTTATATGAAGTATGATAATGCTAGTGATGCGACAGTGAAAATAACTACTACGATAAAAATATTTTATCGAAAGGGATACTATTCATACTAAGCAGTAGTTGAATAGTTCGTTTATATATTTGAAACTATTGGCGCTAGTGTCGCTCTTTGAGTCAAATATTAAAATTCTGATTCACTAGGTAGTAGTGAATAATAAATGATTTATTTTCAGTTTATCTCAGTATTTGATAAGTGGAATCCTGGCATTTAGGTCACCTTATTTTATTTGATGTACAGACGCCAGCAGGTCAAGCTACCCAAAACTGTCAATTTTTCCCAATGTACCTTAAACCTAATGCTCTAGAAATAAAATCGAAAATCTATCAAAGAAATCTGACAGATTGTAGTAGCTTGATGAGCTGGCGTCTCTACTACTGTACTACCAAACAATATCGTTTTATCTCTATAACCTGTTTTCTAGTTTTTGAGTATCTTTTTATTTTATTTTGTAGATGCCAAAATTTAAACGAATAAAAGAGACGAGTACTTAGCTGATCTAATAGAGCTTCTATTCGATCGAAAACGTACGACAAAAAAAAATTAATAGCTACCAAGCCTCCGTAAAATATGGAATACCAAGGTCAACCATTATTCACCATTTATACGGAACACACGGTACCAAACAGCCAACGCCTGGCAGACCTACTGAATTGTCAAGAGTGGGAAACTAAAGTAGCTTCTAATTTCTATGTGATGGAAAAATGTGGGTATCAATTAACCTCAAAGGAAGTAAAAATATTGATATCTGATTATATTCGAAGGAACGGAATCGTTACGAGATTTAAAGATAACTATCCTGGGAAGGAATGGTTTAGAGGATTTAGAAAACGAAACAAATTAAGTTTGAAAAAAGCCGCCTGTTTTTTTTTTGTAAAGATAGTATAAAGTAAAAATGGCTGTTTGATTACTAAAAGATTACCTATTGTAATTACACCTTAGAAGTATTTTAAATTACTTCAATTTAAATAATTATTAATGTACGATGTCGTCCTCTGATTAAGCTCAATATAAACATCGATAAAACTGTATTCCTGACTTTTAATTTTGTTTCCATGTCAGTCAATAAAACCACAACAAGGTTCTCAACAATATTTGTAGGTAAATAGTTGCAATTACCGGACCCATGTCTAAAAAGTGATTTTGAGCAAAATTTTACGTTATTACTAGGGCATAGATATCAAAATATTATGAGATATTGAACAAGGTATATTTTTTCAATGTAACGGTAGCAGTACCCACAGAAAAAAAGTAAAAAAGTAATTAGTTGCAATTACCCGCCAGGACGGGTAATTGCAACTATTTGTGTCTGTGTCAGAAATTTATTTAATAGATTTTTTTTACATGATTAAAACTACTTTTACGGATTTTATCGCGTTTATTTTTACTTTTTATTTTTAATTCCCGACGTTTCGGGCGCTTTCCAGCACCCATGGTCACGGGGGACTGAGATGACTGACGTCCCGATGTCATTGTTAAACCCGGAGTACCTTCAGCTTTTTAATTATTGTTTATGGTCCGATCTATGCAAAATGAACTGACTATGGCCTGAGGTCTTGCAGTGGTATGCTTGGGTTTAGTTTTAATTTTATTAATTATAGGATCCCAAGCAGGTGGTAGTACCCAGCCTCCTTCTC